TCTACATTTAACTATTTAAAATTTAAATCTTATATAGTCAGTAATTTGCAAAAGATCAACAAAATTACAGGCTTTTAGACTCTGAGTTTCCTATCCTTTCTAATTTAGTGTAATATTGAAATAACAAGTTGGTATTTTCTTTCACATCTGCTACTCTGTGACCATGCTTTTTGAGGCATCTGTAAGACAATTTCAACCCATTTTGACTGCCCTTACTCATCAGCTCAAAAATGAGAGGGCAGAGGGAGTTATCAAGAAGATCAGTGCTGGAGAATATATTCTGCTCATCTTACATGTGCATTTGAAATACAGTCCGAAACTACAACACTTGTAAGTTATTTTAAAATAATGTGAAAAGCGTTTGTATGTTTTGCAAGAACAAAGAAGTAACCCCTGAAATGCCATATTTCTTTGTAGCAAGGGCATTTCACTGTGCTATCATTTCTAATTACATATTTTCAGGGGAAAAAAGACAGGAGGTATTTATAAATAAAATGCCATTGGTTTTGAAATCAAATATGTTTTTAGCAGAACTGTTACATTATAAATATTTTATTTTAATTTTGTGTGTATGAATATATTACTTGCATGTGTGTAAGTGCACTTGTGTCCTGCAGTGCCCATGGAGGTCAGAAGAAGTTGCTGAATTCCTTGGAACTGAAGTTATAGACGGTTGTAAGCTGTCATGTGGATGCTGGGAATTGAACCCAGTTTCTCTGTAAAAGTAGTCAGTGCTCCTAATCTTTGAGTCATCTCTCCAGCCCAGGAGGAATATTTCTTACATGGAACAATTAAGTATGTGACATAAAATTAAAAGCTGAAATAATATCTATTTTAATGTCAATGTCAAAAAACATGCATTTCATACACATGTAACTTGAAGAATTTCCCATAGCTATTAATATTTGTTCATGACTTTACAGAAGTTATGTTTAAAAAAATCTTGCCACAGATATACATTTTTGGGGTGGCGGACTGGAGAAATTGGTCAGCAGTTAAGAACACTGGCTGCTTTTGTAGAGGACTCAGGTTTGATTCCCAGTATCCACTTGGCAGCTAACAACCATCCATAACTCCAGTTCCAGGACATCGGATGCCCTCTTGTGACCTCCATGGGCATTGCATGACAGAGATGCACTTAAACACATGCAGGCAATACACTCATACAAATAAAATAAAAATAGTAATAACACTATTTAGAAAATATACTTTTTTTTTGGTTAAATGAGCACAAGATAATTTCTTACTTGGAAAATGTGGCTGGTCATTGTATGAATATTTCATGTCAATAAGTATGTATTTCTGTTTCCTAGTGCAGATTTGAAATAGTGAGTAGTATATGTATATATTGTCCATATTTAAATTCTTATTTATTGTTTTTTCTATAAATTTTCCTAACTGTATCTGAATTAAGTACCCTGTTGATATGATGATGAAACCATGGTATTGAAAAGTAAGTTACTGTGTGTCATGTACTAAAGCAAACTGAAGTGCGGGTATCTTTTCATTTAACTCATAACAATGCTATAGCTAGTAGTTAATTTTAACGATGAAAATAGCAACTCTTTCTTCTTAAGAAAGCTTAGGAATTTTTTCAAGACCCTTTAATTATTGCATAATTCTGCTTCTTGAATGAAATTAGACTTTGATGCCTGTGTTTGTGTCAAGATAAACTCCAGATAACCAAGGAAAACATCCAAGAGAATTCTATTGATACCGATATGCTATAGCTAGTAGTTAATTTTAACGATGAAAATAGCAACTCTTTCTTCTTAAGAAAGCTTAGGAATTTTTTCAAGACCCTTTAATTATTGCATAATTCTGCTTCTTGAATGAAATTAGACTTTGATGCCTGTGTTTGTGTCAAGATAAACTCCAGATAACCAAGGAAAACATCCAAGAGAATTCTATTGATACCAATTCAGAAATGCAGAAAATATGTAATAAATCACTGTACTGATTTCATATAAGGGCAAAGTAAATCATTACAAACATGTTCTCCCTAGCAATTATATCATATACATCTACCACAACCAGAGGCTATAGTAGAGGATATTTATCTGTTAATATGCTAAAAAATACTGAAAATTTCCATTATTTTACTATAAAATAGAAATGAATTAAATGATGCAAATTAAAAGTTATGTAATCAACTCAGTTAAGTGATGTCACACACACACAAACACCCATACACACACACACACATATTCAGGATCATTGATTTAAGTCACATTCTAGGACAAATATCCTTGGGCCTTACAGTACAGTAGAAAGGGCAGCATGCTATTATCCTGTTACCTCTAATCATGGTCAGGATCTCTCAGTTACTTCCACAGAGCCCCTTTGGTAAGGAATGAATTCCCTAGATAGCTTACTTCCCATCTTCACTGAAGATTCTGAATAAAGGAGTGTTGCCTCTCCCAGTACAAAATGCAAAAAAAAAATTGAAAAGACCCCCAGGTTGTGCATAAATGTGGCTGTGGGGTCAGCAAAGATAAGTGCTCTCTCACCATTAATATGTTAATACAGATTTATGTATTAGAAAAGAAATATATTAGTTGTTACTCTGAAAAACATATGAGAGAAAGCTAACGATTCTTGTTTGAAATAAGTTTATATTTAAATAAGAATAAATGATCCAGTTTTATTCTATAAGGTTACAGGGCAAGCCAGTCAGTCTCATGTTTGACTTTCATGCAGGCTATAAACCTGCATGGCTTCAGGACTTTCTTTCTTCCTCCTCACCATTCTCCTCCTCAAGGCAACTTCCAAGATTTCCAGCTTGCCCTTACCTTGGACATGCAGATCTCTGTGAATTCAAGGCCAGCCTAGTCTACATAGTGAGTTCCAGGCCATCTGGGGCTACAGGGAGACCCACCCTGTCTCAAAAAGACCAAAAAAAAAAAAAAAAAAAAAAAAAAAAAAAAAGAAAAAGAAAAAAGAAGAAAAAAAGTCCTAATAAATTGTAAAAGCTTCCATATGGGTCCATTCTTAAACTCTTTTACGAATG